TATATATATAACGAACTATTTCCACGGAGACTTTTTTCTCTTCAGCCCTCCACTTTAAAAAAAGAACGAAAACAAAAACAAACACGAAATTTTGTAAAAGGTAAATAATAATGAATAATCCATGAATAAGTAATTGTCCACGAACATCGGCACGAAATTAAACGCTGCTAACACGACGCGTGAGCGGAAGCGCAAAATTTTGCATACTCCATAACCACTCGGTATCAAATAGCCCCAGTTAAGCATTGTTTTACATGTAAAGCCACAAAGACACACAGGGGCTCGTATCGTTGCTTACAATTTACCATCGTACATGTACTATATAATAACTATTTATTATATATTACATGTATAACGCTAAATTAAAAGTAACGATACGAGCCCCTGTTCACAGACACATACGCACATGTTACAGTTTTCAGTTTTATATATTTATCTCTTCACTGCTTTAAAGTTCGTTGATGAAGGCATTAGGTGGACTTGGTTGTGCTGAGATCGCTTTAATCAATCAATCAATCAATCAATAAATCAATCAATCAATCAATCAATCAATCAATCAAAATGTTAATGTGGATCGTGACCCTTTTATACAACGGGCAACTTAAGATACATTCCCTTCATAAAACAACTTAATTAAAAATTACACACTTTTTTAATTATGTCAAATCAAATTCAATGTAACAAAACAGGATATCAAGTTTTCGAATAGGTCAGCATATTCTATTAGCGTATTTCATTGAAATTGACTATTAAAAGTTTGAGCTTAAAAAAGTGCATCATTATTAGTACTTTATCAATATTTAAACATATTACACAAGCGGTGATCTATATAATATTGCACTTTAGGCCAATCAAAATATCCAATAAACGATCGTTTCTTTCCAATATTTGTCTCCATACACATAATGAATACCATTGGGATTGTGGAAGGAAAGAAAAGCCATATGAAAGATTAGCTATTAAGTCTTAATTGATGTGAAATAAGAGTGATTAACAATTTGCTTCAAATGGGTTTCATTTATTAGAAATCCTTTCGTCGATAAGGGTTCAATTTTGATGAAAGATTTTGCTAAAAAAAAAGAGGAAATCTTGGAACTATTTGACATATAGACATTTTGCGTCCGACAAAATGTTATGACATACCAACCAGTAACTAATGCAAAGCAGAAGTGAAGTGCGGTGCGATATTTTTTTGCAGTTTTATGTGTCACATCGCATCCCTTTAATGTATTATGTATTGCTAGATAATAAGGGATTATATATACGTTGTGTGTGTGTCTGTGTGTGTGTGTGAGAGAGAGAGAGGTTTTGACTGAGTAATTCAAGGTCTTCATAAAATAATCATGTTAGATATCATGATATTTCAGAATATTTGATCGTATAATTTGAAAGGCACCCGAAACAGATACACTGCTGTAGATTTTTTAAAAAGTTTCCATTGAAATGTACCCCCCTCCAAATAATATTTTTTCTTACAAATACATTAGTGGCATTTAAAACTGACTAAATTCGATTTTGTATAGAAAGTTTGAAGCATTTGGTAACAATGATCTTCACCAAATAAAACACAAATGTCTATAATAATATCAAAAAATATCAGTATGGTTAGCAAACAAGAGACCGCGATTCCTAAAGAATAAATATTTAGAGCAGTCAATCGACAATTAATAAAATTTCTTCACTTTCACACAAGCCCGCAAAACAAGTTGCAATGACGTAATTTTGTGCAGTGACTCGTAGCAGTGTAGTGTGACCATGTTATATGTAAGGGGGAGCCCTATAAAATATTGTATTAACGTACGTATGGTCCGATTTAGTTTAACTTATAAAAGAAAATATTTTTTTTTATCAGATACCCGAGAAAAAATAGTTCAAAAGCGTGAAAACAAGCTTACCTGCATGTTTTTATTTCCAGTGCTCCTACAAAGACGCAGGTGCCCTCATTTAGACAATAATGGCGGTCCTCTGCATTGCAGGGAGATGTGTGAGCACTAAATACAAAATCATCTTCCTCAAACAACCCGTCTCCTGGAAATCCGAAAAAAAACGACCTCCGGTGCCGCTGATGTTTCCTGTGCTCAGGAACCACAATCGTCTCTCTGAGAAATCCCTTCAAAATTGAATTAAAGCTAAAATCTTTCGGCACTATGCCGGTGTCAGAATTATACCTCGCATTATCGCTTGTTTCCAAATTCATTATCTTTCTAGACTCGTAAATTTCGCCCTTTGAAACAATGTCATGAATATCCAAAACGTCACGTTTCGGCTCGTGAGAAAAACTTTTAATAACTTTTCTGTTTTCTCCTACAATTTTCTGGTTCCTCTTTAAACCAGGCGCAAAAATGAAATCCTTGGATAATTCCAAAATATTAAAATCTCTTCTATCCATTGAGTAATTATTCGTATCGTATTCGACGGTGCTCCTTCTTTGCTTCTCATATTTCTTCAAAAAACTTTCTGAAAGGACACCTTTTCCCGCAAACGGAAAAGTGTACACTAACACTACCAAAAACACCAGATTGAAGAAACACATTAAAATTGACAGACAGCCCATTTTAACATCATTTTGATATATATCAATAACCAATAGCCAGTTGACATATGAAATCCAAGGGCACCATCGTTTTCAGGGATGAAATAACCACAGATAAACTTCCCAACTTCAACGTTAAGTCACGCGCTGTTAGCAGCACAAATTGGTTTGAGTCTGAATGTGCTTTCAGCGTACCTATACCGCAACGGTTTCGAGTAACATAGACGTACTGTGGCTTTTTAGCTTCACTCTCAAGACATCAAGTTCAGGTTGACTGTAGAAGCCGCATTAGCATCTGTGAATGGCCCACATTGCAGGCATGCCTCCTAGGCTTTGTTCTCAACATACATATTCTTTTGTGGTTTTGCATAAAACGACTATACTATGATAAACCACTTAACATCTATCAAATGTTAGCTATTCTACGCTGCGCGCCGACGAAAATATTTAAAACGAACCCCAAAGGATCAATGGAACAAAAGGAAGGTTATCTTCTCCACCAGTCGTTTAATATAAATGTAAAAAAAAGCTACTTTTTATGCAACATGTTCGTTGACATTACCCACACATTCAGCTGTAAATGACCAAAGTTAGAAACACTCCCCTATAAATAGAGCGGATTTCGTGACTTCTACTTCTGAGACGTAACAAGATTAGATGTGAGTTAGACCAGGTGTTTTCCCGTTTTTGTCCTGAACACTAAATCGAACTTTGTCAACGTAACCAATCATGTTAGCCTTTTGTTTTCATTCTCGACATCAGATTCTTCCGGCACAAACAGTTTGCCTCTCAAGTTGCATCAACACCGTTCCTATATCCCAAGGATGTAATTAAACAGCGTAATAAGGTATTTCCGATAATATATTTTTCCTACTAAGATTTAGTGTATATCTCTCCACTTAACAGTTTTATTTTAATACGTCAGATTGCATTCCAAACAAGGAAAAAAACCTTTCTGTTGACATCAACAAAGGTCACTTTCCACCTTCAAGTAATTTACAGTATTTCATAAACGGATTGACTCGGATAATACGGTATCACTCATAATCGTAAATTGGCAGATAATACAACAACACTTATGCCCGTACAAGGCTGGCAAATCCAATGGAGGATGTCCTTGTGTTTTCAATGTCATAAACTACACGAGTTATATTTAACAGATTGTGACGGAAATTACATCCTCTGTGTGTGTGTGTGTGTGTGTGTGTATATATATATATATATATATATATATATATATATATATATATATATATATATATATATATATATATATATATATATATATATATATCTTTAACTTCATCATTTGCTAACTTATTTGCTTTTTTTCTTTCATAATTAGGTAGGCCCCTTCTTGTTTGTTGGCCCATTTGGCTAATTTTCATTCCCCTATTAACCTGTTACTAATTTAATCACTTATTTATATATCTATGGAGGACCTACCATAAGCTACAAATGGCGAGAAGCCCAATATAACAACATATGCATCAGCGTATTCCTTTATTCCTTTTACAAACGCACTTATATTAGACTTTATCAAATCAGAATGGGTGTTCAAAATTATTGTCTTACAGGAAAGATTTAAATAATGTCGTTGCAAATAAATGCTGTAATATTTTTACAAGGCAAGCATCTTTCGGAAAATACTTGAGAAGCGTTCCTTTTATCAAAGGCAAAATTTCACCGAAGAAATATAATATTACAAGAAAAGCAGAGAAGACTGAATTGATTTGGCACAAGAATTCACATAAATATTGGTTTCGAGTGTCCATAAGTAGGTACGTCTGTCTAATGTCCGTCATTCCGTACACCCGTCCGTCTGTATGCATGTATATCTCCACCAATTATGGCAATGCATATTTGTTACGCAAATAACATTCTAAAAACCTTCCCTTCAAATATTTTTACAAACCAACTAAATAGAATATTACTCATTGGTAGATATGATATATAGTGTCTGCGAGCTGCCTGTTGATAGATGTTAGCTTAATTAATTAATTAAACTTTTTAATTAATCCGTTTACATCAGAAAGTTGAAAGATTCTCTTAGAGAATAGGTGTCAGAATGATACTATATGTAACTTGAGCGCTTTCGACTCTTAATGAGTCTTTTTCAAAGGCAAATACAAAACATAAACCAGACTTACAAATACAACAGGAAAACCGTTGCGCTTTCTGTTTTATTTGCTTGTCATGTCTACGTTTTGTGTGTGTATGTCCGTGCGTGTGCGTGATTAAGATTTTTAACGTAGCTTTAACAATTTGTCAGTCATATCGCTACGATGCCTGCAGTGTGACAGTATATAGTGATGTCTAGCACGGGATCATCATGCCGCAGACATTTGGTATGATGTCCCACCCACCCACATTACCCTAACACAAGGTCAACCAGTCCTAACACTAACCTATTAATGCTGAGCGCCAAGCCAGGCAGTTGTCAGAACCGTTTTTAAAGTCTTTGGTA